AATAGGTTGTTTGCAATCACGTGATTCTGATGACGCGCGAAATGCAGCTGGAGGGCAGGAAGTGATTTTTCTCCATAGAAATGACTAGCAGAGACTCAAAATGCCAGTGTTTTGCATTGTTTATAGATGCTTAAATTGGACAAACCGAGAAACCACAAGGAGCTTTTATTGTGTACGAAAATGTGTTGCTCATAAGGGGGGGAAATTCAAGAATTTGACTGAAAAACGCTGGAAAAACTGGCTTGTAAACCTGCGTCTGCGGTCGGGAGGAGCGAGGCCGGATAATGCTCGTGTCTGCAAATGGTTAATATATAAGATGATAATATATTAAAATATTAATAAAGAAATATATAAGTAGATACAGGGTGACACTGTCAGAATTCACTGAATGCTAAACGCCACACATAGACACGATGTAAATAAGATATTGTTTGCAGTTCACGGAATCGTGAGAAGACAGCTTTTTAGTTGTTAACGTTAGATGAAAGCGCTATTTGCTCGCTTTCTAGGCAGGCTATAATCGATTCAGAATTTAAATAAAAGTTGTTTTACCTGCTGCAATCAGGGCCAACAGCCACATACCCTGTACATGCAGCACAGTTTCAGGAGTGACATATATCCCGCATCCCTCATATAAATACGGGATTCACTTTCGAAATAGCTTGTTTACAATCAGGGCTTTCTAGTCAGCTAACCAATCAGAGTGCAGGAGGGGCGGGGCAAATTCCACCGATCAACTGTCACAACTGTCAGTTTGTTGCAACGACGCGTCACACATATAAAAGAGAGAAAATGAAGAGAAAGAGGTCAGGTTCAGGGGCAGCAGGAGGCTGGTGGACGTTTATGTCCATTCTAAACTTTCTGGAGCCTTACATCCAGGACAAGGACACCTCTAGCAATTTCAGTCAAAATAGGACATGTGAGGAGGCTCTCCTCGAGTCCCTGGTAACACCAGTGGAGGTAGTGTAGCATACTATGTGAACTTCAATGTTAAAGTGATGCTATATCTGTTTTGCTGCTTTAATAAATTGCAATTATTGACGTTTTTTTACTGTCAAAGGAATTATTCGGCTATCATTAATAATTAATAATAGCAGCAGATTGTGCATTCTCATCTGTTGTCTGTGAGGGGAAAAAAATAATAACAAAAATTAATAGCAATTTATTGATAACATATACTCCTGCTATTACTACTAACATTAGTTTTGAAAAAGTGACAAATTGACGATTATTTATCTAGCACTGCTAAACTGTATCATTTTCAGTGGGGGGGGGGGGGAGTGACAAATTGACGAGTATTTACCTAGCATTGCTAAACTGTATCATTTTCAGTGGGGGAAAAAATCAAAATAAACTGCACCTTGACATTTTAATTGTGTGTTTGTGTGTGTGCATATATAAGGAGAAAGAAGTAATATAATATCTTGAAAATATTTATGAAAAAACAGTATATTTAATGGTCACACTGAATCATTCCAAACAACTACACAATGTGTCCAAAACGACTACACCATTCTAAATTGTATATAAAATTCCATGGAATGTAGACTCTCATGTGCTCCTCATGGTATCAATCCAGAAGGAGATAATTCGGTTTACTACACTCTGGGACACATCAAAGCGTTCAGCAAGATCTCCTTTTAAAGTAAATTCAACTTCAGCTTCATCATGGTCATCAGAATTTGATCAATTATGTGCATCTTAAAATTGGAAGTGTAGAATTTCTGGAGATATTTAACATGTTCTTTAAAGACACTAGGGGTGAAGCCAGTATACAATAAAGAGCTAGTTTTAACCAAAGCCGACGAGCTTCTTCTCCCTTCGGAGGGGCGTGCAAATCATAGGGACCAGCAACATGTTAAAGTATCTATATTTCAAACTGCACTTATAAGCTAATGTCAACTGGATTTACAACTGCTGTAATATTTATAATATATTGTATTTATAATATGCATATTGCAATATATAATTGCTATATATCTTAACATTCATGACTTTTCATAGTCAAATTAACCAAAATATGTATATCAAAGAGAGAGAGAAACTGATGTTTTTTAGTTCTCAGGTTAAATGCTGATCTATAAAACTGGCCAATATTAAGACTTAGTATTCTAGATAAAAGCAATAATAAGCAGCCCTACAGCAGGATGGTTTTCAAAAAAAAAAAATTTGGGGGGGTTATAGAAGTTTAGACATAAATAGCCTATTTGTTTTTTTCTTCTTTTTTTTTTTTTTTACAAATTTGGAAAAGTCAACCCAGAACACTTTACAATAAGCACAAAATAAATGATTGATTGTTTCTTCAGACTGAAGACAAAATGAGCAATTGGGGAAATACTATTATTAAATTGAGCAAGTTTATAATTTATCCGGTACCAATTATGGATAATTTTAATAGAGACTTCAACAACTTTATAAGAAGAATTTTTGTCGAAGAAGCCAAAAATCTTCCCATTCTATATCACTAAAAAGGCTATGTTATTCCAAAAACTCTTGAAAAGACTTTGGTCAACAAATAAGTTAGTGTTATCAAAAACATGAGAGTCTAAAGAACCTTTAGGGCCAGATTTACTAAAGGTAGCCTATAGTGTTGTAAAGGATTTCTGTGTGGAATGTCAATCATCTGTGGGATCACGTGTGCTGTTTTTAGTGGAACTCTTGTGAGCTCTCGCAGTCACGTGCTCGTCACGGCTGCAGGAAGTTCCCTCCCGCAGCACTAATAGCTCTCTGCTGGCTGTCAAACACTGAGTCCTGGCGGATATCAGCTCAAAACAGCCGACAGCAAACCCCAGCATCGCGCAGGATAATGGGATGAAATACATTTGGAATCTGAGCATCGAGGATCTGTGTTTTAGCAAGATTAAAGGGCAAAATATGAACGCTATATACTAGCCAACTGCTCATGACACATTAACAACACAGCAGTGTGTTTGGTCGTGCATAAGAGCTCCAGTATGCATGACGCATACGAGCCAGTTCCTATCCTGGAGAAATTACCCCTCCAGATTGACTGTCTGGCGGCCTGGGGTGAGTTCTGCTTCCCTTTCCTTCAACTCTCATGTACATTTTTTGACACATGAGCCAGCTCTTTGGCTGTGTGTCAAAATCTGTTTAGCTGGCTACATACTATGTATGGGTGTCTAGTGAGTATTTCTACCTAGACAGATTTTATTGAGCAATATGGATCGAATAGTTGAATATTTGTTGATCAAATGACCTTTCTCTGGTTATGTATCACAACCTGATGAGCTGAGCTGCGTATCAAAAAAAAAAAAAAGAAGCTGGTCAGCTGACTTAGAAACAGGCCTGTGATGTCCAAAACTACTGTCTAGTTAGACAGAAACACCTGGTTTTGAGTCATAGCTGGAGAAAAGACAACTATTCTGAAGAACAAGAGTTATTTTATTAGTTAGGCAGCTTACAAGGTGTTGAACATGTAGTATTATTGTACATGTTTAGATTAGATTCAGTCAAGCAAGTATAAGGGAAATGAAAGCTCAGTAAAGTACAGTTAAACCAAGTGTTAATTCCACATATGTGAGGTTTATGAGGTTGGTTTGTACAGGTACATATTGAGGGTGTGTGATTATTAGAGCCATCTAAAGGACTCTTGGGTCAATTCATCTCAAGTTGTCCAGAGTAAAAGTGAAACTTTGAACAATCATTGCATGACATTTAAAGGTGCTAAATATTTCTGTATGTTCACATACATGTACCTTGAAATGTGCTCTAGAGATCAGTTTTTGTCCCAAGACACACTCACACTAATTAAACTAGATAAGGTTGGCTTGAGAAAGCCTAGCCTGGAAGTTTAAAGCAGTTGTAAAAGCCTGAAGTTTGAAAATGTAGATAGATTAGACAGATGTTGATAACATGTTTCTAGCATGACTAGCATGTTTTTAGCATGATTAGCCTGTTACTAGCATATTGTTGACATGATTAGCGAGTTACTAGCATGTCACTAGCATGTTTGAAGCATGATTAACATGTTACTAGCATGTTGCTAGCAAGATTAGCATGTTGCTAACATGACTAGCAAGTGACTAGCATATCGCTAGCATGATTAGCAAGTTGCTAGCATGATTAACAAGTTACTAACATGTTGCTAGCATGATTAGCAAGTTACTAGCATTTTGCTAGCATGATTAGCAAGTGACTAGCATGTCATTAGCATGATTAGCAAGTTGCTAGCATGATTAGCATGCTACTAGCATTTTGCTAGCATGATTAGCTAGTGACTAGCATTTTGTTAACATGATTAGCAAGTTACTAGCATGTTTCTACATAATTAGCATGCTACTAGCATGTTGTTAGCATGATTAGCAAGTGACTAGCATGTCTTTAGCATGACTAGCATGTCGCTAGCATGATTAGCAATTTACTAGCATGTCTCTAGCATGATTAGCATGCTACTAGCATGTTGCTAGCATGATTAACAAGTAGCTAGCATGTTTCTAGCATGATTACCATGTTACTAGCATGTTGTTAGTATGTTTCTAGCATGATTAACATGTTTTTTGCATGATTAACATGTTACAGCATATTGTTGGCATGATTAGCGAGTTACTAGCATGTCGCTAGCATGTTTGAAGCATGATTAACATGCTACTAGCATGTTGCTAGCATGACTAGCAAGTGACTAGCATATCGTTACCATGATTAGCAAGTTACTAGCATTGTTGCTAGCATGATTAACAAGTTACTAACAGGTTGCTAACATTATTAACAATTTACTAAAAGGTTGCTAGCATGATTAGCAAGTTACGAGCATGTTGCTAGCATGATTAGCAAGTGACTAGCATGTCATTAGCATGATTAGCATGTTGCTAGCATGATTAGATCATGTTTCCAGCATGATTGGCAAGTGACTAGCATGTTGCTAGCATGATTAGCAAGTAAATAGCATGTTGCTAGCATTATTAGCCAGTTACTAGCATGTCACTAGCCTGATTAGCAAGCTACT